GACCTTTCCGCGACACCTCGGAGCCCACCTCGGCCATGAGCCAGACGCCTAGCGGAGGGGCTGGTGCGGTTCCTACGGCCGCTTCCCGGCTGCTTCCGGAGGGGAGCAGCAGCCGAAACAAGCAGCAGCAGCAACGCGCGTCCTCGCCGGGGAGACCCAAGGACTCGCCCGCCCGCCAGCTCTCCCCAGCTTCTAACGCGTCCCGCTCTGCGGCGGCTGCCTCGTCCAAAACGAGCGGCGCCCGAGCTCAGCCGCCGCCGCCGCTGCCCGGGCAGAAAAGCGGCCGGGCGAAAGGAGGAGGCGGCGGCGGCGGCAGCGGAGGGGGAGGAGACAAAGCGTCTCCGCAGTCGGCGCCGGGAAGGAGCGCGCTGCCGTTGGGAGCTGTCCAGGCCGGAGATGGTGCTGAAGCGCATCCGGCCTCGCCCCTGGTCCCGGCAGGAGGGGGCCCGAAAGCCAGTTCGGGGCCTGCTGCGGACAAGCGAGAGACGGCTCCCAAAAACCACGAGCTTCCAGCGACGTCCAGAGCTGGAGAGCAGCAGCAGCAGCAGCAGCTTTCAAGCGTGACTGGTGGAGGGGAGGTGGAAAGAGGGGGGAGCAGTGGCCTTCCTCAGCCACCACCCAAGAGCTGGAGCAGAGGCAAAGCGGGTAGGCCTCAGCCAAAGGACGGAGGAGAAGCAGGTTCTCTGCCTTCTGGTGGGACAGGAAAAGGCCGGGCCCTGGCAGTGGGTAGCGGTGGTGGCTACTGGAAAGAAGGATGCCTGCAAAGTGAGCTCATCCAGTTCCATCTCCGGAAGGGCTTGGCAGCAGCCCAGATGCAAAGCAAAGGCAACAACCAGGGTAATGGCAATGGCGGCACTGCCTCAGTGGCTGAGCAGTCCCAGCCTGCCTCCTCTTCGTCCTCGACTCCATCACCAGTTGCGCTGGCTGGGACTGAAGAGGCCAGTGGACACAGTGGGGTTCCTGAAGGCTCCTTGAACCTGACCCCTCAACAGCAGCAGCAGCTTCAGGAGGAGGTGGACAAACTGTGGGAAGAGAATGAGGCCCTCAAGGTGAGCAGAAGGAAGGGAAGGGGAAGAGATTCATTTGGTGAAGCCCATTAATAGAAGACCAGATAGGCGGGATATAAATAAAATAAATAAATAAATAAAAATAAATAAGACAAAGTGATCAATGTGTCCATTTTGCTATCTTCCAGCTTTAAGGAAGTATCAAAACATGAACTGACAGCCATATAGTTTTAGCCTAAGTATTGCTTTACATATTTGTCAGAGCTCAAGGCCATGTACGTGTTTCTCCTCCTTTCCACCTTTTTTTCCTAAAGGGGAAGCTAATGTTCTCCCCCCCCCCATTTTGCTCCTGTCAAATGTTATCCATGACATCACAATGCATATGATAAACTGGGCACTCCAGAAAAACTGTCAGAGCATATAATTTCTGACTGTTAGAGACATGATTTTCCATGAACGGTGCTTCTGAAGGATAACTGGCTAAGACATAGCATGTACACAGACCTGTCTCAGCCAGTTATTCCTGTCGCAGCCATGCTTCTTACATACTACATATGTTTGTGTGTTTTCCCCAGACACTACAGGAGTTAGGTGGCTGACATGTGAAATGACAACAACTTGTTCCCCTTTAATGCCCCTGGCATCACTTAATGCATGAAGGGTTGCTTTCTTATTGTCTGCCATCTTCTTCTTTTTTTAATAGCTAATATAAAAAGAGATTTGCACATAGTAATGATTTTCCTCTAAAATTTGTGTCATTTGCATATATTTTTCCCTCCACAATTTGTTTCTCTTTTATTCGAGGTTTCTTTAAAAGTAGAGCTACATTTTATGGCCAAAATCCTGTTACCATGCACAACAGGAATGATACCATAATTAGTGGCAATCTTTACTGATGATGAGATGACTCCCATTGTGCAGGCAGAATCTGTCCAACAGTATTTGGCCTATAATTACTAGTAAAATATGCAAGAGCTTCATACCATTGTTCAATTGACTGTAACTCTGTGATGATGGGCTGAAATCCAGTAGTAAACGGCAACTAGAGCTGAATCAGTCAGGATTTAGTGAGTTAACTCATCCATAAGTTCAATTGATTCAGTGGGCCTACTCCAGTTGCAACTTGATTTCAGTCAATGAAGAAAGAATACTCTGATCCTACATGATGTCTCCATGTTAGTTGTAAGTAGCAGAAGAAGTAACATCACCTACATACTTCTGTCTGCTGCCTACATGTTCATGTATACAGCTGTTACTAACTTCGTCAGTATGTAAGAGGTATTCAGTGGGAGGTTAGTCGTATAAGGAGATCATTGGTATATTTGGTTTTTAAAACTATGTGCCTCCCTTTCCTTTATCTCTTTGAATTCACATTATATGATACATTTCTGCCTTTCCTTTTGAATGGATGCCAGAATGAGATAGATGAGCTGAGAACTGAGATGGATGAGATGAGGGACAGCTTCTTTGAAGAGGATGCCTGCCAGCTACAGGAAATGCGCCATGAGTTGGAGAGAGCCAACAAAAACTGCAGAATCCTTCAGTATCGTCTTCGAAAAGCAGAGCGCAAGAGGCTCCGCTATGCAGAGACTGGAGAGATTGATGGAGAACTTCTGCGTAGCTTGGAGCAGGACCTGAAGGTACCACTGGGCTACGCTGGCAAAGAGATGGGAGACTGGTGGTGGGAGAACTGTTAAGCTGTGAAACTAGTGTATGCTCTATTCTTGCAATAGAAGGCAGAGGTTCCTTGAGGAGTGGACTGCCCTATAGTTTTGGAAACCAAGGTAGCTGAAGTCTCAACACTCTTCTTTCAGAAAACACTCATGCAAGTATTTTGCCCAGTGTGGGGAATTTTGATCCTCCAGATATTTTGGACTTCAACTCTCAGAAGCATCAGACAACATGGGCAATGGTAAGAAAACATGTGAATGGTAGTCCCAAACATCCAGAGGATCAAAGCTTACTCACACTTGAGTCAGCACTTTCTAGTTGCTGAACAAGCAGTTTCAAGTTCCCACATGTCTGCAGGTTTTTAAATGTGACTGAATATGATGCTAAGGCTCAAGACACATATGCACACGTGCAAGAAAAATGCACTGGTAGGTTGTGGAAATGTACACTGTGTGTGAGAGAGTTACACTTGTAAACCACTAGGTTGCCTTGCCCCTCACCATTGCAAATTCCCATGGACATCCTTGGGAATCAGCATAGATGCTTCAGCTAGCATCTTGTTTTGGTTTGATTTTGCAAGGAACAACAGTCAGGCAACTGGATTCCTCTGTTTTCCAGGGTGTGTATTTTGTAGTCAATCATACACTGGTTGCAACAGGTTGTTTGACCAGTCACACAAGTGGGCATGTGACAGCCACCCCAAAATGCAGTAAACTACTCACATAATTGACACAGTGAACTGAGCAGGATAGTGGCTTTTGCATCTGATTCATACATTTGTCTCCATCTGTGTGTTATGAGAGAAGTTACAGCAATGCTGTCATGTGGTTAAATGTTCTTTATTCTGATTATCAGTACCTCATAGATAATAGCATTTCCTGTAAGAGCAAGTGAGTCACTCATGACTGCTGTTTTGTGGATAATAATGGGCTTTCAGGTTGCATTCTGAGAATCTCTTTATCTTGTCTAACTAGGCAATATACATTAAACCAAGAATCCTATGCACACTTACCTTGGAGTAAACATTATTAAACATGAGGCATAATTCTCAGAAAATGTGACTACAAGGCTATAAACATAATAGCACATGTTTCGGAAACTTGTGGTCTGAGGAGAGAATAAAAAAAAAGGGTGAGGTGCTCCTAGATCAGACAATTAAATCCTGTGTCCGGCGTTTATACATGAAAAATAATTATGTATATATTTTCAGGTTTACAACTATGAGGCAACTCTTTGGACTTCTGACAGTTCTTACATCACATCTACTTGCATATGGTTAACAGTTACTGAGATTTTTTGATGCTAATGTTTTTGTGCCCTTACCCAATCTTCCAGTGAAAATCTGCCCTCACCAAGTTAAAATCTGATAATGTTTAATTATTAATCTGCTAAAATATTTTCGGCTAGTGCCAAGTTTGCAAGGCGAGAGAACATACTTAGCAAGCCTTAGAAAATAAAAGAGATAATGGTTAAGAAGCCTCTTCCCCACCTTTGAAAAATTACTAGTGGGAGTCAAAACCCCCAACCATTAATGCCACGACATTGGGATTCTAGTAGTTAAGCTCCCCCCCAAAAGCTTCCAAGTCCTGTCATTGGGGTGGTGTGTGTGTGTGGGGGGGAGAGAAGCCCCATCTCTGGCAACTGCAGTGCCAGAGGTCAATGTTTCTAGACAGTGAGAGCTTTGTTCTCCTTGCCTTCCTGCCAGGTCACCTTTTCTTTGCCCTATTTTGCCTCCCTTCTCTAGACAGAGGCAATGAAATAGCCTTTAACATCGCTTTGTTTGCATCAGTTGCTTCTCAGGCTACAGAAATGGATCTGCTCTCCTTACTGTGAGGCAGGCATGGGCCAAATGCTGGTAGATGGGAAGTACTGTTGCTGACACACCTGTCATGTTCTACTGTGAGGCAGGCAGGCACCGCCATGGGCCAAATGCTGGTAGATGGAAAGTACTGTTGCTGACACACCTGTCATGTTGGTTTCCTTATAAGGCCTCTGGGTCCCCCAGGGATTTCCATTCTATTGTGTCACTCAGGTGGAGGCCCAGCAACATTGTGAGGAAATATGAATGGGTGGTGGCAATAAATTCTTTCTGACTACCAGCTTTTTACATATGTCTGTGTGCTTTCCAGGTAAGGGAAGGAGGGCTGGGGAGGTGTGCCAGGGTGATAGTCCCTTCAAGGAGCTTAGACCACTAGTGAATTCTCAGTGGTGGTGGCCTCATTGCAGGATGTTAAATTGTTCCTTGATAGATGAGCAAATTCAAGTGCCAAGGCCAATAATAACATCCAGCATCCTGCTGGGATTACTGTGCATGGGACAAACATTGCAGAAGTAGTCAGGGTTGTTTGGTAAAGTTGCTCTCACATGCCTGTCATGTGGCCTGGGTATGTGACCAGGCAGCTTCCCTGTGGCCACTTCTGCAATTTTCATTGCACACCTGGCAATTTAAAGAAGATACTAGCCACAGAGATTGTCTTGCTAAAAAAGCAACAACCATCAAATGTAAATGTAAGACATGCAAGTTGAAATTCACATTTTAGTGTATTTGTGTCCAGCCATAAAATTGGCCTTTAACGAGGAGTGTCATATACAAATTCTTTTTCAGTCATATAATACTTCAGTGATGCTAATTCTAAAATGTATAGTGCCTGGAAGTCCTCAGCAGCATTATGGAATATATGAACTAAGGCCTGGTTATGCTCTCATTCTTTTAAAATCACTGGGGAGAATGATTTATTCAACTTCCAGTGGAATTACATTCATGACATAGGTAGCAAGGGTGCCCATCTATGTTTAGAATTCTAATACCAACCATATATTTGTTTTTAAAAAACAGGTTCCTAAAGTTACCGAATCACAACTAGCTCTCCCATAACAAAGATTTTTTTTTCTGGTTTCAAATACTATTTTCTAGTTACAAATGCTGTTCCCTTAGGTTGCAAAGGATGTTTCGGTGAGACTTCACAATGAGTTGGAAAATGTGGAAGAAAAACGCACTACTACAGAAGAAGAAAATGACAAGTTAAGGCAGCAGCTAATAGAAGTAGAGATAGCTAAGCAAGCCGTTCAGAATGAACTTGAGAAGGTGAAAGAGGTAAGTGTGTACTATGATTAATGGTAGAAGATGCCAAAAAGCCCCATAATTATGGACTAAGCTCTGAGGATTCTAAAATGGATCAAATTATTCAATTGTTGTAAGAGAGAATACACATTTTAGGAACTGTAAACATTTTAGAGGAAAATATATTACATACTTCCTTGCTGCATCACCATTACATTTGTGCTTAATATTGAAGTCCTATTCAGGCAATACCACATTAAAAACACAAATCAGCATGGAAACGGGGGTTGCAGGTTGATGTTGCCTCAACTCCCCCTGGCTAGAATATACCCCTTGCTTGTTGCATTAATTCATCCCATTTTAGTAATGCCTGAACAGAGATATAGTTAACTGTGAGATTCCAGGCTTATTCTATAGTAACACCATTTAAAAGATCTTACATTGTAAGTCAAGGAAAGCCCTTAACTTGAAGAGATGGAATAGTCCAAGACTAGGTGAGAAATTGGGCAAGCTACAAAGTACCAGGATAGTTCCTGAATAAGGGAATAGTAAACCGCTTCTGTGTATTCTTAGTTCCTGAATAAGGGAATAGTAAACGGCTTCTGTGTGTTCTCTACCTAAAAAACCATGGAAAGGGTTGCCATCATTCAGAACTGACTTGACAGCACACAGTTATTTAAATTTGTTCTTTAACGAGCAAGTCTTATTATTTGGGAGTGTTCTTTAAAATAACAAGTAGATCTGATCACCTGCTGCAATTCATACATGTGGACAGGAAATGGTATCCTAGTACTGGTGAATGAAAAAAAAATAGTAGCTCTCTTCCCTGCCTTCTAGCTGCAAGTCAGAGTCATGCTGTTGTACATGTCCCCCTTCTCCCTTCCCCCTGTTTTGAGATAACAGCCAACCAGGTTAATGTGAACAGGCTTGCAAAGTAGCTTCAAATTAATAACTGAAGAATTTGTGGCTCTTTAATCAGTTTTATTTAGCATGGGCTTTCATGGACTTCAGTCTACTTTGTTAGATGCATGATAAAGGGAGAAATCTGTGAAAGCTTATGCCAAAGAAAAATTGCACCATAAAAGACTTCTTTGTTTCTGCTGCAACAGTGCCTACATCCACCCAGGCCGTTCCACAAAATATGAACACGCATAAGAGGTCACTGTCATCTTCACCGGTTTAGATAAAATCTCAAGGCTTGTTTCCTATGCCTACATACCTGCTTAGGAAACTGACAGTTTTCTACAGTTCAGCTGTGGGCTAGCCCAAGTCTGTCTTCTTTTCATATTCTCTTTTTGCAGGTTGAGCACTAGTTTTAAGTTCACAGCCTAGCAGGTGCACTGGGAGGGTCAGTTTTCTTACTGCTCATTGACCAAAATCGTCTTGGGATTTTATGTGTGTGCATGAGGAATCATGACTAGAAGGGAGATTTCTGTTGTGTGCATGCCAGGCACTCAGTTAGGAGTATCACTGGGTGTGTGACTGGCATGAATACAGTACCTTGTCAGTTTGCTACACCAATGTATGTGATTCTCCTGGTTCATGTGTAAAATCCCAACAAGATTTTGGATTATATCATTTGTGTGTCACAAAAGGGTGACCACTAGATCTTTTGTATCCCAAGAAGAACAATATTAAACAGCAAAGGACCTCACAAGACACATAAATAAATGCAAAATGAATTTATTACAATTCTAAATAAAGGGGTTTCATGCATTCAGCACATTCACACCACATACATACTCACCAAAGGGAGAAGAATTCTTTATTTGCATTTAAATTGTATGTATTTTTATTGTATCATTTTTATGATTGTTTGCCCCCTAGAGTGGTCCTGACCCGACCAGATAGGCGGGATAGTAGTAGTAGCAGTAGCAGTAGCAGTAGCAGTAGCAGTAGCAGTAGCAGTAGCAGTGTTTCCCCCTTGATATATGGTCCTTATCACTTATTGTGACGTATGGAATACTTAATGTGTCTTCCATCACTTAGTGGACAGGTGTGGAATCTGCTTGCTCAGGAAGATCTTCGTACCAGGGTCTTCTTAATCCCCTTTGCTCTACTCCCTCAGTTAGCAGCAGATGTTTTTTTATCAATTTACTGAAAGCATAGCTCAAAATGTTCAGTTCAATACTTGAATTTCTCACAATGAGGGCTTATAGCCAGAAATACAAAGCCCCATGGTTCCTCTGGTTCTGTTGGTCTCCATCTTTGTCTCCTAACTCTCTCTCTGGATCTTCACCTTATCCAGGCCAAACATACACACACCTTACATGGGCAGCTACCTGTGTATATCTCACATGGCACCAGTGGCTGGGAGCTGAACGATATTTTAATAGAAATCCTGTGTTTCATGTTAAGTTCATGAAAGTTGAAACATCACTGGAAAAAAGTGCAGTCTTTCCAGAGAACATATGGCTCCTACACTGTAAATCTAGGCACGCTGGACATCTATTGCAACACAAATTGATTATCTATTACAATTTGTTGATATTTCTTCCAGCAATCTTAATTCTGAATTGGGATTCCTCCAGTCCATCCTTTTGTTCGCCTCTGGAACAATCTACCTCCTGAGATTCGCGGGGCTCCCTCGCTGGGTATCTTTAAGAATCAATTAAAGACATCCATTCGGCAGGCCTTCCCATCAGAGAATTCCTGACAAGCTTTTTCTTTCTTTTTTTATTGTTTCTTTTACCTTGTCTAAGGCTTTTACCATTTAAATTGTATGTATTTTTATTGTATCATTTTTATGATTGTTTGCCCCCTAGAGTGGTCCTGACCCGACCAGATAGG